AAGGTACAAAGGACCTATTTTCTAAAATCTTTATTTCGATTAGGGCACGTTTTGGCCGAGGATATAAAAAATGTGATCATCTCATTTTTAAATTGGACACCTCCCTGTTCTTCTTCTTTCCCCCATTTCTTGGTCACTTCTCCGATTTCCCAATTTCCAATGATTTATAGATGATCACAGTTGAAATTTGATCTAGACATTAAATAATTCTTGGTATTTCATTAATTCTCGGTTTTTTGTGGAGCAAAGAATTCGAAATGTTTAAAAAGTTTCTTGTTACCTTGGCCGTAACAGAACAGCAAAACAGGGGAGAGAGATACGAAAAATAACAAAAACATTGGTAACAAGAAAACCTGTTAAAAACAAAGTCTATTTTTTCCTCAAAAAAAAAAAAAAACAAAAACAGAAAAAAAACATTGTTGCCCAAGACAAGAAAAAGGTGTCACGTTACGCATAATTTATGTGTACCACAAACAATCCATAATTTTTATTTTTCCCTGGTCGTATGCTGGTGTTGATGGCCACGAAGATCCAAAGCCTGGAAACACACACACACTCATACATACCCGTATGTGGTGTTGAAGCCTGCTATGGTTTTGATCTAGTTTGGCCTAGTGATGATTCTTGTTCTTATTCTACAAAAAAAAAAAAAAAAAGACATGCAACATGTATGTTACCCTTTTTCCAACTCTAACTTTTCTCGTTGCCAAACATCTGTGCTTGAGGCGATTTTATGCCTTGTCTTGAGACAGAGTGCGCGCAAGGTTTTGATTAAAGACCTGTGTAATTCAAACCTTTGTAAAAGGAATGCTAGATTTATTTTTATTTGAAACTAGTTAACATCCCCATCGTCTTCTTCTTTTTCATGTTAGAATTATGATAATGATCTGTCAAGTGATACGGAGGAGAGGAGGAAAGGGATAACAAGCAACAAGATCTTTTGACAAGATAAATTAAATCAAACACACACTCTCTTAAAAACAAATGACATTTTTTTTTTTGGTTTCTTGGAATCGAATAACAACAGTTGTTCTTTTTTGTTATGGAAAAATATGCAGGTAAATGTTAATGAGAAAGGGGGACAGGTTGGGATACATATGGAAAACTTATTGGATAGTATCTGGTCTCTGGGATCGATATTGAACATTTAAGGCACAACAAATAACGAAATTATAGCATTTCGCAAAAAACCTCCCGCAAGTGGCGCCCAACGTGGGGTTGTAAACAATAAATTTTGAATATATTTTTAAGAAAATGTACTATTTAATTGAAAAGATTTTCAACTGAGTAATTCTACGTCTGTGAATAAATTTTTGACAATTTAACGCCTAAAATATATTTTTTTGGAAATTTTCCAAATGCCATTAAATTCATTTGAAATATTTTCATCTGAGTATTTCTACTGCTTTAAATAATTTTTTGTGAATTCAAAGTCTAAAAATTTAATTATAGGCATTTTTTCAAATGGCGCCCAACGTGAAAAATTTAATTTTTTTTTGTCCATTGAAAATTAAATTCATTTGAAAATATTTTCAGCTAAGAATTTCTACTGCTTTAACAATTTATTTGGCAATTCAAAGTCAAAAATTCAATTATAGGCAAATTTTTCCAAATGGCGCCCAAGGTGAAATATTTAATTATTTGTCCATTCAAAATTAAATTCATTTGAAATATTTTCATTTGAGTATTTCAACTGCTTTAATAATTTTTTTGGCAATTCAAAGTCGAAAATTCAATTCAAAGTCAAAAATTCAATTATAGACAAATTTTCCCAAATGGCGCCCAACGTGAAAAATTAAAATTTTTTGTCAATTCAAAATTAAATTAATTTGAAAATGTTTTCAACTGAGTATTTCAGCTGTTTAAACAATTTTTTTTTGGCAATTCAAAGTCAAAAATTCAATTATAGGGACATTTTTCCAAATGGCGCCCAACGTGAAAATGTTAACTTTTTGTCCAATCGAAATTAAATTTATTTGAAAATGTTTTCAACTGAGTATTTCTACTGCTTTAACAATTTTTTTGGCAATACAAAGTCAAAAATGCCATTACCAGCAATTTTTTTCAAATGGCGCCCAACGTGAAATTTTCAATTTTATCGTTTTCAATGTAGTAACTTTAAAAATACATTTCTTTGATTTGGAAATGTTACAATTAAAAGCTTAAAATATATATTTTTATGCACATTTTTGTAAAATGGCACCCAACGTGAAAAATTAAAATGTTTTGTCCATTCAAAATTAAATTAATTTGATATGTTTTCAACAGAGTATTTCTACTACTTCAACAATATGCAATTATATGCTAAATTTTCCCAAATGGCTCCCAACGTGAAAAATTTAATTTTTTACCTATTCAATATATTAACTTTGAAAATCCGCTTCTTTGAATTTTAATTGGAAATGTTGCAATTAAAAGCCATTTTGAGCATTTTTCCCAAATGGCGCCCAATGTGAAGAATTTTTTTTTTGTCCATTCAAAATTAAATTCATTTGAAAATATTTTCAACTGAGTATTTCTACAGATTTATTTTTTTTTTTTTGCAATTCAAAGTCAAAAATTCTATTATAAGCAATTTTTTTTTAAATGGCGCCCAACGTGAAATTTTCAATTTTTAGCTATTTCAATGTAGTAACTTTGAGAATTCGATTCTTTGACTTTTTATTGGAAATGTAGAAATTAAGAGTTTAAAACATGTTTTTTTTTTAGCAAATTTTCCCAAATGGCGCTCAACGTGAAAATTTTAATTTTTTTCTCCATTCAGAATTAAATCCTGAATGAAATATTTTCAACTGAGTATTTCACAGCTCTAAGAATTTATTTGGCAATTCAAAGTAAGAAATGAACGTTTTTTCCAATGGCGGTCAACGTAAGTAATTTTTTTTTTTCAAATGGCGCCCAACGTGAAAATTTTATTTTTTTTTTATCCATTCAGAATTAAATAATCATTTTTTTTGTCCAATCAAAAATAAATTTTATATTCCACAGAAAATGTTTTCAACTCAAGTGGCGGCCAACCGAAGGCATATCAATATCATACGATTCAAAGTCCATGACCTTTTTACTCTATGCCTTTAAAATATAACGTTTCAAAGTGGCGCCCAATAAGCCAAATGTTCAAATCACTCAAATTTGGTAGAGAACACTACAATGATATATCGTTTCAACATTATTACGCTACTACCTATGAAACCCCCCCCCCCCCCACTTTAGCGGAATATTTTATCCCGATATTACTCATATCCTGGCATATTTCAAAGTAGCGCCCAACCAGGAAAATTTTCAATTAATTCCAATTGGCAGTCAAATTCTATGAAAGTATTTATTTCTCATCGCAAACTCCCAACGCCCAACGAGGAGCCAATTTTATTTTCGTAGATTTTGGCTGCGATTTTTATATCTTTCAATATCTAGGATTTCAATGAATTTGCAGTTTTTCGTTGACTTTCCTACTCGAAAATATAAAATTTTGAAATCAATTCCAAAGTTTTGGGACCCTCAAATAAAGTTTCCGAATTTTTTTAAATCAAAATTTGTTGAGAAATTTTTTTTCTGATTTAAAAATGGAAAGAAAACATGGGAAGATTCCAGATTTTCCTGACAAAAACTTAATTATAACCGTTTTTGTTGAACTTTCAACCGCATTTTAAGGTGGCGCCTAATGAGATACAATTACATTTTCCATGATTTTAAGGGAAAGTATTTTCATAACTTCTTGAAGTATTTAGAATTTTGAATAACATTTTCAAGTTTTTAATAAAAATAAAAATTTTAATGTGTTTTCTGTTGAATTTGAATGTGGCGCCCAACGAGGGACAATTTTATTTTCAAAGAATTTTGGTGGGATTTTCATAATTTCTATCAGAATCCATAATTTTGAATAACATTTTTATGTTTTTTAATAAAACTAACCACTTTTATGGTGTTTTCTGTCACATTTGAATACGGCGCCCAACGAGGGGCAATTTTTTTTTCAAAGAATTTCGGTAGGAATTTCATTATTTCTGTCAATATACATTATTTTGAATAGGACTTTCAAGTTTTTAATAAAAATAACTGTTTTTGTGGAATTTTGTGACGCATTTGAAATGGCGCCCAACGTGGGGCAATTTTCAAAGAATTTTGGTGGGATTTTCATAGTTTCTGTCAGTGTCCATAATTTTGAATAAAATTTTCAAGTTTTTAATAAAACTAAACATTTTTATGACGTTTTCTGTCACATTTGAATATGGCGCCCAACGAGGGGCAATTTAATTTTCAAGGAATTTTGGTGGGATTTTCGTTATTTCTGTCAGTGTCCATAATTTTGAATAAAATTTTAAAGTTTTTAATAAAAACACCTATTTTTGTGGAGTTTTCAGAGGCATTTTAATGTGGCGCCCAACGAAGGGCAATTTAATTTTCAAAGAATTTTCAATATTTCTGTCAGTATCCATAATTTTAATTAACATTCTCAAGTTTGTAATAAAAATACCTATTTTTGTGGAGTTTTCTGTTGCATTTTAAAGTGGCGTCCAACGAGGGGCAATGATATTTTTGTAGATTTTTAATGGGATTTCCTTAGTTTATTACAGAAAATAGAAAATTGAACAACATTTCCAGGTTTTCAATAAAATTATTAAAGTGGCGCCCAACGAGGAGCAATTTTTTCCCAAGATTTGGAAGAGTTCTTCATAACTTTGGGCAGCATTCAGAATTTTGAATAATACATTAAAATTTTTTAATTAAAATACCTATTTTTTGTGGAGTTTCCCCTCGTCTCTAAGGTGGCGCCCAACGAGGGGCAATTTAATTTTTGTGGTTTTGTGTGGGATTTTTCGCAATATTTTATGGTATTCAAAAATTTGTACAAAATTTTTCAAATTTTTTCGAATTAAAAATATCTAATTTTCAAATAAAATTCTAAAATTTTGGGTCACCCAAACAATTTTTTCTATCCTTTCAAAGATTTTTTTTATTTTTTTTTTTGATTTTTTTTTTAGATTTTCTTTACAACATACCTTTCAGTTTCAATATAATCCAAATATACTTGTGCGTTGTGCAGTTAATCCCAAGTGAAAAGAATGAAAAAAAAAAACAAATATTTCGGCTGCTTTACTTTTGATGAAGAAGAAGATGGATGAAATTTCGAAATATTTCCGATGTAGATGTTAGTTTTCGATTTTTTTTTGTCAAATTTGGCACACGACGTGGTCTTTTGTCAACATTCTTGAGATTTTTTCAAACTGATTCTGTGATTGAAACAAAACACAAAAAAAATCTCAGAAGTTGAGGAACTTGTAGAAAAATTGTGCGAAATAGAAAAAATGGCACTGGGTTTTGAATTTTTATTTATTTTTTTGTTAAATTTCTTTAAACAATTTTCGTAGAAGGTGTTTTGGGTTCAAGGAATTTGCCCTTATTTGCCGTAACATAATTTTTTTTGTTTTGTATTTTTTACGATTTTTTTGTTTCATCCAATTGATAAGACGGTTTCACGTTTTTTTTTCGCTTAATTATTGTTTTGATGTTTTTTTTTTGTTTTTTTATTTTATTGGCTCTGGCAAATAAATCAACAAAACGGTGTGGAGAGGGCACAAAAAGCGTAAAAAATAAAACTTGTTTTTGTTGTTGTTACTTTTGGTATAATTTCTTTCCAATTTTGGTATCACATAAACTCCAGCATAATGATTGCTGGCCGTTTGGAGACCGACCGACCGACAGACAGACCGACCACAAACAATGGAATCGTGTCAACTATGGCTAGAACAACAACAATAACGACAATGCCTTGCACAGAGCGAGCGGCAAAGGCAAAACATGAAAAACACACCACCAAAAAAATATATATTTTTCTTCTTCTTCTTCGTTTACGGATTGTACAACAACAATGGGAATTATTTTTTGTTTCTTTAATTTTTTGTTTTTTTTTTTGTATTCAGGAATCACAGAAAGAATTTGATTTATTTTTAAATTTTTTTTCTTTTTTATTTAATAAATTTTCCCCACTTTTTCTTCACTGGGTCCGTTTTTCTTTCCCCCCAAAAAATTAGATGTTTTTAGGAATATTTTCTTGTATAACGTAACGTACATCCAGAAAAAATATTGTTTTTTCCATTCGGTTTTTTTGCCATCCGTTTAACACCACCATACGACACGATCGCTCTTTAGAAACTGAACTAAATTAGACAAGACTACGGCTGACTGCCTGGCTGGCTGGCGGCAAGGCATTCCACCAACAACACGCACACACACGGCAAAACAATACTCACAAATCAATTCGATTTGGGAGAAACAAACAATAAATTCTCCCCTTTTTAAAGGAAATTCTCTTGCTCTCCCTCTCAGTAATACTTACGCTCATTCTCTCTCTCTCTCACAGAAAATGTATCTGTATCTGAACCAAATAAGAAATATATAACCCAGCCGGTAAGCAATAACCAACAGATAGATACACCATAACATGGCACAACTAGCAAGCAAGCACGCAGGCAAACACAAGCACGTACGCACACACACACCACCCCACCACCACCACCTCTTTAACACACTTACCACCCAGCCAAGTCAAGCAACCAACCACACCAACGTAAAGTACAAAAATGTAGCGTAAAAACCTGATATGATTTGTTTTCATTGTTGTTGTTGCTTGCCCTTTGTTAACAATGGTGGTGCTACACTCAGAGACACAAATAAGAGCAGCAGCAACAACAACAACCGCCGACTCATTGAAAATTATTCTTTTGCCGCCTTGCCGTTTCGGGGGATGGGAGAAAAAACGTGGTACCTCACTACACTACACACATTGCCAGCATGTGTTACTCGTCGAAAAGGAAATCCAAACAAAAACACAAGCACGCACTCATTACAACAGGGAGATGGGAGAGAGAGAGAGTCAAATAAAAACAACCCAAGAGAGCTCCACACACACAAGACAAAAACCCCCCAATAAGCTCCCCAAAATACCAATAAATTGTGTGTATAACTCATTGGACCCATAATAAATACACACAAATTACAAGGCGCTCTCTCTCTCTCACTCTCAGTGTGTTTTCCCCCCAATTACTAACAAAGCAAAGGCCATTAGTTTTCTCTCGCATGCTAGAAATTTATTCTATTATGATTGCAATGGGCATCTCACACTCACCTTTATTTCAATGAAATGCAATTGTTGTTGCAATTGCTGTTGCATTCAAAATTCTTATGGAGATCACCTGTAAAGGGAGAGAAAGAGAGAGAGAGCATTAGAGAATGTAGAAAATAAGTCTTATTATAATTTCATGGTAATTATGGTGTGGAGTAGAAACAAAAAAAAAAAAAAAAAAACATGAAATGGTCATAATATTTGTTAAATACTGTCATAATTAATGGATTTGGAAGAACAAAAAAAAAATGGTTTAATTTTTTTTGGTAAGGGCGCCAGGCGCTTAAATTGGAAAATTCGTAGAAAATATTTTTGATAATGGAAAATGGCCCAGAAGACCTTTAGAAAATATAAATTGCAATTAGAGAGGGACTTCATGTGGCCATAGAAGACCCCATACGAGATATTCTAAATCCAGAATGCCTATGGAAGATGTGCAGCTGTGGATGAGAAATTTTAAATGGTGAGATATTCAAAGAATTAAAAAAAAAAAACTAACAAAAAAAATGTAATTGAAAATGCCCAAAATTAAAAACGTATCAAAAATATTCATCAATTTGGAATTTTTCATAGAAAAAATTCACCATAGTGGAATTTTTCATAGGAAAAATTTTTTCACCTCAGGTGAAGTGACGATTTCTGTATAGATTTTTTTTTCACCTCAGGGGAAGTGAAGATTTTCGTATACATTTTTTTCATAGAAAAAATTCACCATGGTGGAATATTTTCATAGAAAAAAATTCCCGATGGCGGATTTCTCATAGAAAAAATTCACCATGGCGGAATTTTTCATAGAAAACAATTCACCATGGCGGAATTTTTCATAGAAGAAAATTCACCATGGCGGATTTTTTCATAGAAGAAAATTCACCATGGCGGATTTTTTCATAGAAGAAAATTCACCATGGCGGATTTTTTCATAGAAGAAAATTCACCATGGCGGATTTTTTCATAGAAAAAAATTCACCATGGCGGATTTTTTCATAGAAAAAAAATTCACCATGGCGGAATTTTTCATAGAAAAAAATTCACCATGGCGGAATTTTTCATAGAAAAAATTCCCCAACGTGAAATTTTGCACAGAAAAAATTTTTTCACCTCTGGTGAACAAGATTTTCGTATAGAAAATTTTCACCTCACCTCTGGTGACAAAGATTTTCGTATAGAAAATTTTCTCACCTCTGGTGACAAAGATTTTCGTATAGAAAATTTTCTCACCTCTGGTGACAAAGATTTTCGTATAGAAAATTTTCTCACCTCTGGTGACAACGATTTTCGTATAGAAAATTGTTTTTCACCTCCGGTGACAAAGATTTTCGTATAGAAAATATTCACCTCACCTCTGGTGATGAAGATTTCCGTAAAGAAAATATTCACCTCACCTCTGGTGATGAAGATTTCCGTAAAGAAAATTTTCTCACCTCTGGTGATGAAGATTTTCGTATAGAAAATTTTCACCTCACCTCTGGTGATGAAGATTTTCGTATAGAAAATTTTCACCTCACCTCTGGTGATGTGAAGATTTTCGTATAGAAAATTTTCACCTCACCTCTGGTGATGTGAAGATTTTCGTATAGAAAATTTTTTCACCTCACCTCTGGTGAAGTGAAGATTTTCGTATAGAAAATTTTTTCACCTCACCTCTGGTGAAGTGAAGATTTTCGTATAGAAAATTTTTTCACCTCACCTCTGGTGAAGTGAAGATTTTCGTATAGAAAATTTTTTCACCTCACCTCTGGTGAAGTGAAGATTTTCGTATAGAAAATTTTTTCACCTCACCTCTGGTGAAGTGAAGATTTTCGTATGGAAAAATTTTTCACCTCACCTCTGGTGATGAAGATTTTCGTATGGAAAATATTCACCTCACCTCTGGTGATGAAGATTTTCGTATAGAAAATTTTTTCACCTCACCTCTGGTGATGAAGATTTTCGTATAGAAAATTTTGTCACCTCACCTCTGGTGATGAAGATTTTCGTATAGAAAATTTTTTCACCTCACCTCTGGTGATGAAGATTTTCGTATAGAAAATTTTTTCACCTCACCTCTGGTGATGAAGATTTTCGTATAGAAAATTTTGTCACCTCACCTCTGGTGATGAAGGTTTTCGTATAGAAAATTTTTTCACCTCACCTCTGGTGATGAAGATTTCCGTAAAGAAAATTTTCTCACCTCTGGTGATGAAGATTTTCGAATAGAAAATTTTCACCTCACCTCTGGTGATGAAGGTTTTCGTATAGAAAATTTTTTCACCTCTGGTGATGAAGATTTTCGTATAGAAAATTTTCTCACCTCTGGTGATGAAGATTTTCGTATAGAAAATTTTCACCTCACCTCTGGTGAAGTGAAGATTTTCGTATAGAAAATTTTTTCACCTCCGGTGACAAAGATTTTCGTATAGAAAATTTTTTCACCTCCGGTGACAAAGATTTTCGTATAGAAAATTTTTTCACCTCCGGTGACAAAGATTTTCGTATAGAAAATTTTTTCACCTCCGGTGACAAAAATTTTCGTATAGAAAATTTTTTCACCTCCGGTGACAAAAATTTTCGTATAGAAAATTTTTTCACCTCCGATGACAAAGATTTTCGTAGAGAAAAATTTTTCACCTCCGGTGACAAAGATTTTCGTATAGAAAATTTTTTCACCTCCGGTGACAAAGATTTTCGTATAGAAAATTTTCTCACCTCTGGTGATGAAGATTTTCGTATAGAAAATTTTTTCACCTCCGGTGACAAAAATTTTCGTATAGAAAATTTTTTCACCTCCGGTGACAAAAATTTTCGTATAGAAAATTTTTTCACCTCCGGTGACAAATTTTCGTATAGAAAATTTTTTCACCTCCGGTGACAAAAATTTTCGTATAGAAAAATTTTTCACCTCCGGTGACAAAAATTTTCGAATAGAAAATTTTTTCACCTCCGGTGACAAAAATTTTCGTATAGAAAATTTTTTCACCTCCGGTGACAAAGATTTTCGTATAGAAAATTTTCTCACCTCTGGTGAAGTGAAGATTTTCGTATAGAAAATTTTCTCCTCACCTCTGGTGAAGTGAAGATTTTCGTATAGAAAATTTTCTCCTCACCTCTGGTGAAGTGAAGATTTTCGTATAGAAAATTTTTTCACCTCACCTCTGGTGAAGTGAAGATTTTCGTATAGAAAATTTTCTCACCTCACATCTGGTGATGTGAAGATTTTCGTATAGAAAATTTTCTCACCTCACATCTGGTGATGTGAAGATTTTCGTATAGAAAATTTTCACCTCACCTCTGGTGAAGTGAAGATTTTCGTAAAGAAAATTTTCACCTCACCTCTGGTGAAGTGAAGATTTTCGTATAGAAAATTTTTTCGTATAGAAAATTTTCTCACCTCTGGTGAGGAAGATTTTCGTGAAGAAAAACAACAACAACATTTCATTGTAAGTTCATTAGTGCAGAGCAACAACAACAAAATCAGTGTTGGGCCACAGGAACCAAACGGCAGCCAAAAGACTACTGTAACCCCTACAACAGAGATAACGATTCGGGATCTTAGAGCAGCCAACTCCACAAAATCAAAAATGCAGAAGCTAGAAAAACTCGCACAACAACAAAACAGAGATCTTCCTAACCAGACATTGAATACCAAGACTAACAAAGCCAACATCAGCAACAACAACAATGAGTTACAGGCCACTCGTGGAAAACACAAATTCCTGAACTACCAGCTACGTGTTTGTACGACAGACAGACAGATAGACCTGAACTGATATGTGGGGAGTTAGAGAACAAGAATACCAACAACAAGAACTGCACCAAATCAAATCTCTGAACAAAAATTCTACACGTGTGCCTTGCCGTTCGGAGGATCCCAAATCACAAACACACAACCAACAACAAAAAGAAACATTTACAAATAAACAAAAGTGCTCCCATGCCGCTGCGGGTGTGTCTGTGTGTGAGTGGTGGAGGAGTAGTGTTGACGGTGGCAGCCTGCTGGCATGGCACCCTGTTGCAATGGTTTGCCGCCTAAGGCTACATGGAGTGATCTCCATGGCAGTTTTCTCGTTTA